CTCCTGCTCCTCCTCCTCCTCCTCCTCCTCCTCCTCCTTCTCCTCATCCTCATCCTTCTCCTCCTCCTCCTCCTCCTCCTCCTCCTCCTCCTCAGCCCTTCTCCTCCTCTTCCAACCTCCCCTCCTCCTCCTCCTCGACGGCGGATAGGCCTGGCTCCCTCCCCTGGTGTCTCGCAGAGACAAAGACACGCAGGCAAAACCTCCAGGGACCTCTGCGCAGGCCTACAGATCGCACGTTTCCTTTTGCCATCGCGAGTCGAGTTTTCTGACGGTCCTGCAGGGGCCCAGATGAGACGGCCTCGGGAGGCCGCAAGCAGCGGGAAACTGCGATGTGCTTTCGAGCCGCAGGAGATCTGGGGCCTCCAGAAATCTCCGGAGGTCTCCGTCGGAGGTTGTCATGGCTCCGTACATAAGAACTCTGATGAATCAGCAGATTGGCACACCCAAAGAACTCTGCCGCCGTGGGTCGAAGCACTACCCTGTTACACGTGCTCTCCCGGTGGGTCTCGCAAAGTCCTGATCTGCAATGTCCTGGTTTCTGTTGCCCTGAGGAGGACCCCGTGTGGAGGTCTGTGGATGCCCCTGGAGACCTCCCGAGGCCCCCGAAGAAGCAAGCAAAAAAACGTCCCCCCCTTCAATCCTCGAGCGTGCCTCGCCTCGAGCGAGGGGGACCCCGCCAGGGGCCTGGTCCTCCGACGTCACGTTTGTTTCAACGCGTCGCCACTAGTACTAGAATTAGGTCGGGCGTGCCCCCCTGCAGGGGGATTTTGGGCGAAAACATACAGATACTCAAAAGATATTCCAGGAAATCCTCAAAAATACTCAAAAAATCCTCCCCATACGAATTTTGGCCTAGTTTTGAATATCCCTCCTGTAGAGGGACAGGCCCGACTCAGTACTAGAGCTATCGAACCCTTTGGGGGGACCAGCTCTTCAAAAAAAAAGAAAAAAAGAGCGTGCCCTCTCGCCCCCGCGCGTTCGCGGCGGGCCGGCGCTGCTTCCAGCAAGTGTGCCCCGTATGGCTCCCTGAAGCGAGGCGTGCCCGCGCTCGTGCGGTGCACCCGCTCCTCTTCTCCTCCTCCTCTCTCCTCCTCCTCCTCCTCCTCCTCCTCCCCTCCTCCTCCTCCTCTCCTCCTCCTCCTCCTCCTCTCTTCCTCCTCCTCCTCATTATCCTCCTCTCCCTCTCCTCCCCCTCCTCCTCCTCCTCCTCCTCTCCTCCTCCTCCTCCTCTCCGCCTCCTTTTTTCTCCTCCTTATTTTGCTCCTGTTCCTCCTTCTCCTCCTCCACCTCCCTCCCCCCCCCCCCTTTCCCCCCTTTTCCTCTCCTCCTCATCCTCCTCCTCCTCCTCCTCCTCCTCCTCCTCCTCATCATCATCATCATCATCATCCATCATCATCAGCAAGCAGCAGCAGCAAGCGCATGCATCATCTCATCATCATCATCATCATCAGCAGCAGCAGCCGCATCATCTTCATCATTATCATCCCCTTCTCCTCCTCCTCCTCCTCCTCGCTTCCTTCTGTTCCTCCTCCTCTTCTCTTCCTCCTCCTCCTCCTCCTCCCCCTCCTCCTCCTCCCCCCCCTCCACCTTCATCCCCTCTCCTTGTAAATAACTCCTCCCTGTCGCCCCCCAGACGTGTCAGTAGGGTGGGTTGGGCGTTTCGCAGGGGACATCCACACCGTTCCTGATCGTGATCCTTGAAATTGCAACAGCCTTAGGGACGGAGGGCGTGTCGCTTCCAAAATGTGGCTCTCGCCTTAACGCAATGCACATTCATCTCAAAAGTTCGCAAAAGCTTCAAGGATGGAGGGCGGGTCCTTTCAACAAAATGTGGATCTCGCCGTAGCGCCGCGCACATTCGCCCCAAAGGTTCGCAACTACTTCAGGGATGGAAGGCCAAGGGTTTTCAACATATAGCTCTCGATTTTAGCGCCGCGCACATTCGTCTGGAAAGCCTGCGGCAAATTCAAGGATAGCGGGCGGTTACGTTTGAGCATGTGGCTATCGCGTTGGCGTTGCGCACATTCGTATTGATGGTTTGTGACAGCTTCAAGGATGGAGGGCGGGCCAGTTTCAAAGGTGTGTCTCGCCTCAGCGCCGCGCACATTCGTCTTAAAAGTGTGCAATAGCTTCAAGGATAGAGGTCGGTTCCTGTTCAAGTTGTTGTTCCTGCCGTATCGCCGCGCATATTCGTCTTAAGGTTTGGCAACCGTTTCAAGATTTCGTATGGCTGGAGTCTCAGGAATGGCCTTCTGGCACGATTGGGGATTGTCAGGACACAACAACCACGTTGGTTCACGGTGTTGAAATCCCAAGAATGGTGCTCTGGTACGGTTCAGGCTTGTCAGGATGGAACCGTCACGTTGATCCGCGGCGTTGAACTGAAGTCCCAGGAATTGTGTTTCGGAACGGTTGAGGATTATCAGACGGCTGTCTTCCAAGGAGGCACTTCCAGAAATTGGAAAGCAAACAAAATCCGCCGACCACTTGGGGTCACGGCGTGTGAAATGCTTCCACCTCCCCGAACCCCTTCCCCGGGCGCCTGGTCCGGCCGGTTTGGGGGGGGGAGGGTGGGGGGGGGGGAGAGGCAAATCCATCATCCGCACACTTGGAGCCTCAGGAGGCCCCAAAACTGGCCAAAAAAGTCCCAAAGGTTCCCGGAACGGTCCAAGAGAGCTACGAATCGACGAAAGATCGCCCCAAAACGCCGAAGATTGCCTCCACACGGCTCCATAAGTCCCCAAGACGTTTGAAACGATATTACGAGGCGCCCCAAAGAGGCCCTCCAGAAGCAAAAATCGTCCCATTTCCAAAGGAAAACGTACATTTTCACCACATTCGCCCATTCGGCTCCCACGCGGCGCAAAACGGCCCAAGAAGCCCCCAAGATCGACCCTCGCCAGCCCAAGAGGCCCCCAAAAAGGCTCCACGACGGCATCCGGGCGATCCACGAAGGCCCCAGAAACCATAGCAACGGCTTCGGAAAGCCGCAGGACGGTCCCAAGAGGGCTCCAAAACAGGCCAAGAAGGCTCCCATAGGCTGTCCGGACGGCTCACGCGGGGGACGATTCGGTCCAAACCGCCCAAGATCGCCGCCAGACGACCCAATGGGTGTCCAAGACGCTTGAAACGCGACCACGAGGCGCTCCAAGAAGACCTCCAAAAGCAAAAACCGTCCCATTCCCGAGGTAAAGCGTACATTTTCAGCACATTCGCTTCTTGGGCTTTCACGAGGCCCACAACGGCCCAATAAACCTCCAAGATCGACCCCTGTCACCTGAAGAGGCTCCCAAGAAGGCTCCAAGACGGCTTCCGGGCAATCCACGAAGGCTCCAGAAACCACAGCAACGGCCCAGGAAAGCCGCAGGACGGACCCAAGAGGGCTCCAAAACAAGCCAAGAGGGCTCCCATAGGCTGTCCGGACGGCCCACGCGGGGGACGATTCGGTTCAAACCGCCCAAGATTGCCTCCAGACGGCCCCATGGGCGTCCAAGACGTTCGTAGACGCGACCACGAGGCGCTCCAAGCGAGCCTCCAGAAGGAAAAACGGCCCCATTCCCTGGGGAAAAAAAACATGTTCAGCACATTCGCTTCTTGGGCTTCCACGAGGCCCACAACGGCTCAGTAAACCTCCAAGATCGACCTCTGGCACCCCAAGAGACTCTCCAAAACGCTCCACGAAGGCCTCCGGGCGCCCCACGGAGGCCCCAGAAACCATAGCAACGGCCCGGGGGAACGGCAGGACGGTCCTAAGAGGGCTCCAAAACGTGTCTAGAGGGGCATCACAGGCTGTCCGGACAGGCGACGCGGGGGACGATTGCTGCCGCCCCAAGGGGTCGGCGGTGTGGCGTAAGCCAATGAATCCTGTAAGGGGGCTTCGAAAAAGGGAACTTGGAGGGGGAAGGTTCTATTGCGACATCGTTGATGCGCCTTGGTTTTCCTCCTCATCATCCCTGCCTCCTCCTCCTCCTCCTCCTCCTCCTCCTCCTCCTCCTCCTCCTCCTCCTCCTCCTCCTCCTCCTCCTCCTCTTCCTCCTCCTCCCCGCCCCCCCCCCTCTTCCTCGACCTCTCCGAGGCCCGCGGGACGGCCCGGCCTGGCGAGGAGCGGGGCCAGGACGTCCACCTGCCAGGGGAAGGGTCGGAGGCCGAGGACTCGTGGGCCGAGGGCTCGGGGATGGAGGGTTCGAGGATAGAGGGCTCGAGGATGAAGGGTTCGAGGATGAAGGGCGCGAGGATGGAGGGTTCCAGGATCGAGGGTTCGAGAACGCCTTGAGCCCTTCATGGGCCTCCAAGAGGCCTCCTCGTCGCCACGGCTAGATCCGCCTCGACGTGTTGGCCCGAGAGCACCTCAGGAGAGGTCGACGGGCTGGTTTAAAGGGGAGAGTCGGAAAGGGGGAAGAGTAGGATACGGAGGGGGAAGGGGAGGAAGAGGCAAGAATGGGGAATGGGGAGGAGGGGGAGGAATGGGAGGAGGGGGGAAACGGGGAGGACGGGGCGGAGGGGAAAAAGGGAGGGGGGGAGGAAGGGGAAGAAGGAGATGGGGAGGGAGTGGAAAGCGAGGATCGAGGACGGCCTCTCACTCCTGGTCTTCCTCCTCATCCTGAGCACCACCAACAACAACCATCCGTCAGCATCATCACAATCCTAATCAACACAACACCAGCATCATATTGCTGATCATCACCATGGTCAGACTGGCATGACCATCGTCGTTGTCTTCGCCGCCGCCGCCGTCCTCCTCTTCACCGTCATAATCGCCATCACCATCACCATCGTCATTTTCGGCAGCATCGCCAGCATCACCAGAATCATCCGCAACACCAACATCATCATATGTTTATCGTCATCACCCTCGCTACCACCATCACTAGCATCATCACCATAATCATCACCATCACCCGCACCTTAATCAACACAGGCAAACGCCTGCTTCTACTCCTAACCATGCGCGTAAGAATGTTCATTCTCATGGCCGCCGTCATCATCCTCATCATCAACAGAAGTATTACCATCATCTTCGACAGCCCCCGCGATAGCATCAGCATCATCATTTTTGTCATCGTCATCGTCGCCATCATCATCATATCATCATCACCACCGTGATCATCATGCCCATCAAACACAACATGCGCAGCACCAGCATCGTCATCGAGGGTCTGGGAGCCCATTGATCAGACAAGCCAACCTCCAGGAGCCGCTCGCATTCACGAACTGCCGAGAGGACATCAGATACTAACCGATCAGGAGGTCACACTGCCGAGACATGCGCAACGCGTGAAGGGACGCAAGTATATCCCAGAAGCGCTTGTGGTCCTCGAAGCGCCCGAATCTGACCCTCTGTCTGCCGCAGAACGCCACGCTCCACGGCATGGCAGCGGCGTCGCAGCCGTGCTCGGTGAACGCTGCGCTGTCGACGTGGGCAGACCAACTTTGCGGTTCGCGCTCGATGGCCATGTTGAGCGCCAGGAGCCGTGCCGCCCCCTTGGCACCGCTGATCCTGGCCATTGGGCCCGCCTCTCCGGAGCTCGAGGCTGCGCCCCCGAACGAAGAGGAGGTCATCCAGAGTGTGCTCGTCCTCCTTCATTTTCTTGGTGCCGTCGACCTTCTTCAATGTTTGCAGCCTTGCAAGCTGGATGGCCTCGTCTGCATCGCGCCGCCTGCTTGGACAAGGGCACCCTCCTCTAGGAGCCGCCCGGATGCCCTGCTCGCGCGGAGGGGCCCGTCGGCCCGCTAGAGCAGCCCCCGAGCCGTCGCCAGGGCCCCTTCTGCCGCCCTGGACCGGGGAGGCGTCGGCGCGGGCGGCACCGCGGGCGAGACCTGGAAGGGGGATCTGCTCGGGACGAGGGGGGCTGGCGCCAGCACGCTCGCAGAGGACCCCGCCTGGAGGAGCGACCCTGAAGCGACAGGGGGGCCCCGCAGAAGCGAGGCCACAGACCTCCAGGCTTCTCGTCTCGACCAGCTCGATGCGGCCCGACAAGCCCCTCATATGTTGGCCACCGATGGCCCCCAGCAGCTCGCGTTCGAAGCCCCCGACGGCGCTCTGCAGATCGTCGCGCGACACGTTGACGCGCCGAGAGGTCGCGGTCCTGTTGGCGCTGCTCGCCGCAGGCTCCCGTCTCGCCGCGCGCCCAGCGCGCCCACCTGCAGCGGGAGGGGCGCCGGGCGCGAGCCTCTCCCCCAGCGCGGCCAACGGCAGCGTCAACCGTTGACAGGGGGGGCGCCTGGCGGGCGGGGCCATGGGCCCCGCCGCCCCGCCAGAAACCCTTGACCTGTTGGGTCTGGGCTGCCCGCCACGTGGGCGCCGCGCGGCCGACCTGCCCACTCCTGCGCGTCAGCCTCGCGGACTGCGTCGACCTCGTCGTTTCTCATGCTCTCGCCGTCGCGCTTGCCGGCGGTGGTGCGCCTCACCCCATCGATCTGACCGTCGACGCAGAGCTGAAGCCGATGCGCCCCAGGTCGCCCCGGGGCGGGGTCGGGGAACGCGACGGGTCGGAGCAGGACCCCGATGTTCCAGTCGTCGGGCCGCGGGGCGAGGTCGGCCAGCTCGAGCAGGTCTGGCTGAGCAGACCTGCCAGCTGAGCCGAAGAACTCGACCACCTCGCCCTCCGCGCAGCTCTCGGCGAGCCTCGCCAGGAACGCGGGCGAGACCTTCTTGCAGGCCACGTCTACTGGCACTTCCTCGCCCAGGGCCGATCGCGACGTCACCGAGACGCACTCTACGGAGACGAGCGAGCCCGCGTCGTAAAGGAGGCAGACGGCGGGCGTCACGATGAGGAGGTCCTCCAGCTCGAGGTCGTTGAGGTCGTCTTGGGACACGGCGTCGACGGCGACGGGGCCCTCGAGCCTCGCGAACTTGGCGCCGACGACGCGGGTCTCGCACCGTGCGGCCGCGCCCGCGGCTCGGGCCCTGGCTAAAGGCAGCCCGACCAGCCACCAGCGAAGCAGGATGTTTGCGGTCTGCTGCAGCGCACCAGAAGGCAGCGTCGTCATGGCGCCTGTGCCAAAATGGGCGCGGTCCCCGCATGCGGCCTGTGCCACTAGGGCCTTTGGTGGAGCTCCCTGTGGGGCCACGAACCGTGTGAAAGGTGTGCCAAAAATTGGTGACGCTCGCCGCAAGCGGTCTGTGCCACTGAGGCCTTCGGTGGAGCTCCCTGTGGGGCCACGAACCGCGTGAGGGGTGTGCCAAAATGGATAGCGGTCCCCGCGTGCCGCCTGTGCGACTAGGGCCTTCGGTGGAGCTCCATGTGGGGCCACGAACCGTGTGAGGGGTGTGCAAAAATGGGTGCGGTCCCCGCATGCGGCCTGTGCCACTGGGGCCTTCGGTGGAGCTCCCTGTGGGGCCGCGAACCGTGTGAGGGGTGTGCCAAAATGGGCGCGGTCCCCGCAGGCGGTCTGTGCTACTATGGCCTTCGGTGGAGCCCCCTGTGGGGCCACGAACCGCGTGAGGGGTGTGCCAAAATGGGTGCGATCCCTGCAGGCGGCCTGTGCCACTGGGGCCTTCGGTGGAGCTCCCTGTGGGGCCACGAACCGTGTGAGGGGTGTGCCGAAATGGGTGGGTGGCGGTCCCCGCAGGCGGCCTGTGCCACTGGGGCCTTCGGTGGAGCGTGGGCGCGGTCCCCGCATGCGGCCTGTGCCACCGGGGCCTTCGGTGGAGCTCCCTGTGGGGCCACGAATATCGTGAGGGGTGTGCCAAAATGGGCGCGGTCCCCGCATGCGGCCTGTGCCACTGGGGCCTTTAGTGGAACTCCCTGTGGGGCCAAGTGGGTGGCGGTCCCCGCAGGCGACCTGTGCCACTGGGGCCTTCGGTGGAGCTCCCTGTGGGGCTACGAACCGTGAAGGGGTGTGCCAAAATGGGTGGGATGATGCTGATGGTGACGATGGGGAGGATGAGGAAGGGGAGAAGGAAAGAGCAGGAGGTGACGCGGGGCGCTGTCTCTTCAAAACGAAGACCCAACACGCATCATTCGTCTTCACAGTGTCCGCGACGGCCATAAGGGGCCCCCAATATCGTCCCAAGACAGCCCGTGAGGCCTCCAAAAAGGCCCCGAGACGGCCTAAGAGGGCTGCCCAAGAGGTGGCGAAGAGGGGCCATACGAACTCGAAAGTACCCAAGAGGCCTCTGAGGCGCTCCCAACAGGCCCCCGAGAAGCCTCCAAGAGGACCTCATGAGGACCCCAAGAGGCCACAAAAAACCCTCCAAAACGCCCCCGACACGCATCCGGAGAGATAGTCTAATGCATCCGACAAGCCACCTTGCGCGATCGCGGGATGCTCTCACTCCTCCTGGGGGTCGGCGAAATGGCGTAAGCCACATCAACATTATAGTGGCAGTAAAAAGCAGCATCACCATCATCAGCATCATCATCACCATCATCAACAACAGCATGATCATCATCCTCATCATCATCAACAGCCTCATCATCATCAGCATCATCATCATTTGCCATCATCATCATAATCATCATAATAAACATCATCACCATCACAATCAGCATCATCATCATGAGTATCTTCATCATCATCATCAGCATCATCAACAACATTATGAGCATCATTCTCATACGCATCATCATTATCGTAAGCATCACCATCATCCTCGTCATCATAATCATCATCCTAATCATCATCCTCAAGATCAGCATTATCATCATCGTCGTCAGCATCATCATCAGCAACAGGATCATCATCAGCATCATCTGTCATACTATCATCGTCATCATCATCAACAGCATCATCATCACCACCATCATCATCATCTGCATAGTCATAGTCATAGCAGTCGTCACTATCATCAGCAGCATCATCATCTCTATCATCAGCAGGGTCATCATCAGCACCATCATGGTCCTCATGACCAACGATCGTCATCACTACCACCACCATCAACAACAACGTTATAATCATCATAAGAATCAGCATCCTAATCATCATATCATCAGTATAGTCATCAGAATCGCCAGCAGCATCACCATCATCGTCATCCTCATACACATCCTCATTCTTATCATCACCAGCATCATCACATGTAGCAGCACCGTCAGTAATGCCAAAATCACTGTCAGAATCATCATACTCATCATCATGGCCATCATCACCATCACTATCACCATCACCATCAGCATCGTCGTCGTTGTCGTGTCCGTCGTCCGTCGTCTGTCGTCGGTCGTCTACCGTCCGTTTTACGTCGTCATCCTCCTTCGCATCGTCCTCATCATCCACGTCCTCCTCTTAGTCTTTCTGCTGCTCCTTCTCATCCCCATACTCATTCTCCTCCGTCCCCCCTTATCATCCTCCCCATCATTCTCTTCCGACCCGTCATGATCATCATGATCCTGATTAGCATCATCATCATCATCATCATCAGCATAAGCATTAGCATCATCGCCCTCATCCGCATCCTCTTCCTCATTCTCATCCTCAACACCACCATCATCATCATCATCATCATCATCATCATCATCAGCAACAGCACCAGCCTCATCACCATCATCACCGTCATCACCATCCTCATCCTTATCCTCATCCTGATCTGTATTCCTCATCCTCACCAGTGTCCTCCTCCTCATGATGCTCCGCCTCATCCTCGTCATTATCATAATCCTCTTCCTCCTCCTCCTCCTCCTCCTCCTCCTCCTCCTCCTCCTCCTATTCCTTCTCTTCCTCCTCCTCCTCCTCCTCATCCTCCTCCTCCGCCTCCCTCTCGCTTTTCGGTCCATATGCCCCCGTCCACCACATTCGTCTCCTCCTCCTCCTCCTCCTCCTCCTCCTCCTCCCCCTCTTCCTCCTCCTCCTCCTCCCCCTCCTCCTCATCCTCATCCTCATCCTCATCCTCATCCTCAGCAGCATCATCCTCATCCTTATCCTCAGCCCTCAGCCTCATCCTAATCCTCAGCATCATCCTCCTCCTCGTCCTCCTCCTGTTCCGCATCATCTTCCTCCTGCTCCTAATCCTCCTCCTCCTCCTCCTCCTCCTCCTCCTCCTCCTCCTCCTCCTCCTCCTCCCCCGCCCCCCTCTCCCCCATTCAGCAATATGCCCCCGTCCTCAGCATTCTCCATTCACACCACCTCCTTCTCTCTCTCTCTCTCACACTCCTCCCCGCGTCACCCCCACCCCTCACCATTCCTGGTCGAGCCCTATCAACCGCCCCTACCCTCACGCCCCCTATCCACGTCCTCCTCCTCCTCCTCCTCCTCCTCCTCCTCCTCCTCCTCCTCCTCCTCCTCCTCCCCCTCCTTCTGCCCCGCTGCCTCTGTTCTCACGAAGTAGCGAAAAGGTGGCAGCAGGGCTTCAACGGCCTGACTGTGAGATACCTGCGGGATGCCCACGATGCACATACCCCCTCCGACACATCCTCACGATAGTCCTTCGAATCATACCCATCGTCCTGAGAAAGTTCATCAGTTATCTTCCTAGACAGCGTCAGCATCACCATCATCAGCAGCATCAGCATCATCATCATTAACATCATCATCATCATCATCATCCTCCTCCTCCTCCTCCTCGTCGTCGTCGTCGTCGTCGTCGTCGTCGTCGTCGTCGTCGTCGTCGTCGTCGTCGTCGTCGTCGTCGTCGTCGTCGTCGTCGTCGTCGTCGTCGTCGTCGTCGTCGTCGTCGTCGTCGTCGTCATCGTTATCGTCATCGTCATCGTCATAAGCATTATCATCAGGAGCAGCATCATCACCATCACCATCACCACCATCATCGTCATCATCCTAAGAATCATCATAATGTTCAGCATCATCATCATCATCATCATCCTTATCATCATCGTCATCGTCATCGTCATAATCATCATCATCACCATCACCATCACCATCACCATCACCATCATCAGCCTCATCATCATCATCATCATCATCATCATCAGCATCATCATCATCATCATCAGCATCATCATCATCATCATCATCATCATCAGCATCGTCATCAGCAGCAGCAGCAGCAGCAGCACCAGCATCAGCATCAGCATCCTCGCCGGCCATGTAGGAGAGCGGGTCGGGGAGAGCTGGTTGCTCGCGCCTGGCGGGTGCGCCAGGGATGATCCCGCCGCCACTGGTCATAGCCCTCCACCAGGGCGTCGGTTTCGCTCTCCTGCCAGGTCAGGCCGGGTCAAGCCGTAGACTGCGGCAGCCCATGGGCGCATCCACGACACGGGGGGGAACTTTTGCTTAGCGTGTCGGGGCGGCGGCCCCAGCGACACTCGATGCGCTGCGAGCTATAGCGTGTCGCTGTGCCACGCGGGACGGGAGGCTGGGAAAGGCTCGGGACGTTGACGCTCGGGGACCGCGACGTGCTTAGCGTGTCGTCTGAAGCGCGGTAGGCCATAACCAGCGGCGCGACACGCTGAGCAGAGGGTTCCTGACCGTATGTTGGCAAGGATACCGCCTCACACAGTATCCGTCCTGCAACTGGCACAAGTCGACGGTGGATGCGCGTGCAAAATGCTACCACCTGAGAGGCTCAATGAAAGGCTATTGAGAGACTAATGGGAGGGTCCTGAGAGGCTCTTGAGAGACTCCTGAGGGGCTCCTGCCAAGGTCTGAGAGGGTCCTGAGAAGGCCCTGAGAGAGTTCTGACGGAGTCCTCAGAGGCTCATGAGAGAGCCATGAGGGACTCGCGAGAGGCTCCTGAGAAGCTCTTGAGAAACTCCTGAGAGGCTCTTGAGAGGCTCCTGCGAAGGTCTGGAAGGGCCATGAGAGACTCGCGAGAGGATCCTGAGAGGCTCCTGCGAAGGTCTGAGAGGGTCCTGAAAAGGCCCTGAAAGAGTCCTGACGGAGTCCTCAGAGGCCCCTGAGAGAGTCATGAGGGACTCGCGAGAGGCTCCTGAGAAGCTCTTGAGAGACTCCTGAGAGGCTCTTGAGAGGCTCCTGCGAAGGTCTGAGAGGGTCCTGAGAGGGCCCTGAGACAGTCCTGACGGGGTCCTTAGAGGCTCCTGAGAAGGCCGTGATGGGCTCGCTAAAGGCTCCTCGGAGGCTCTTGAGAGGCTCATGAGAGGCTCGTGAAGGGACTCCTGAGAGGGCCATGAGGCGCTCATGAGAGGCTCTTACGAGGCTCTTGAGTGGCAATGGGGAGGGTCCTGACAGGCTCCTGATAAGGTTCCTAAGGGGCTCCTGAGCAGGTCCACAGAGGCTCTTGAGAGGCTCCTGAGAAGACCATCAGAGACCCCTGAGAGTCATGATTGGTGAACATGACTTCACGCATTGAAGCAGCATTGGTGCTTTGATGCACGTTTGTGTGCAACGCACACGAGAACCACACGCGTGCTCCGCGCGCGCCAAGGTTCTGACAAGCTCGAGCCCTTGACTCGCCAACAGCTGCATGCATACAGGCTTCAGAACAAATTAGCGAACACTCATGCCAAATTCATCTGTCAACGCCTCCCCCCCCCCCATGTTCAAAGTTGGCGGTGGGTCTGATGAGATGCACTTCGACCGCAGTGTTTTCCGCGCGTGCCAACATTGAGTTGGGGGGAGGGGGAGTGTTCAGTAATTGTTTCCCTCTACCGTATGATCACACACACACAAATGGAATGGGGGATGGAGACGTACCCGTAACACCGACCCTTGAGGCCCCGAGCGAGGGAACGCGGACTGATCTCTCAAGCCATCCGCCCCAATGAAGGGGCCCCAGGACACACAAATAAATACACACAAATAAAAAGATTCCCCATATTTTCCTATATTTTCTGGGTTTTTGTCTTCCCCCCCATTTCCCATGTTTTTGCATACTTTCCTGGGAGTCGACGATGAATTGTGTCTGTGTGTTTTTTCCCCTCCTGACCCAAGATGACCTCTGAGGCAGCCAACGGGGTTCAAAAAGGCCACCAAGAGGCCTCACGAGGCCCCCATCATAACAGGCCTCAGAGAGGCCCCCAAGAAAGACACCGAGAGGCGTCGAGACTGCTTCCAAGACGCCCCCGAGACGCACCTCGGAGGTCGATGCCGGTGCGCCACCGGCACGCTGGAGCAAAAATGGGGGGCCACGGCTGCCCCGGCTCTGGATCGTCTAATCGAGCGTTTCGGTTCCACCCTGGATGCCCACACAGGATCACTTCGAGAAGCCTTCTGAAACCGCACTCCAACCCCTTCCCATTTACAACTGCACGTTCTCGAGAAGCAGTAGGATCAGCAGCCCTCGGAGGAGAAAACTTCACTGCACCGACCTTGCAGACGTGCTGCAGCGGATATTTACATGGACTTCTGCCACTGCAAAGCCCCGAAACGGCGAGCGAAAAACGAATTGAATTACACGTGAATTTCACGTGGCCAAAAAAATCCGCACGAAACTCACATCGAAATCCAGAACGAAATTCTCCAGGACAGTCTGGGCCCATCCCATAGCTTCCGAACGAAATCCGCTCTGCGAAATTGGCGCCACGATAAGTTGACGCTGAGGAGGAAGATGAGGATGACTCGAACGAAGACGCCCACCCAGGCCCCGCACAAGTCGTCGTCCCGGGCTATGCCGACACGCTTCAGCCAATCTGAAGGGTCCTGGCTGCCCCAGCGCCAGCTTTCAAATTCCAGACCGGCCCCAAGATGACACAAAAGGGCCCCGAGACGCCCCCATCCCATGAGGGCCCAAGACGCCACAAGCCGGCCAAGATGGCCCAACCAGCCTCCAATAGGCCCCCATCGACGCCCCCATGCCTCCCCTCTTCACTCCTCCGGGTGGTTCTCGGGGGCATGAACCGATGAATCAAGCCTCAGGCGGCGATTCGGGACGGTTCGGGCCGGGAGAATGTGGGAGGGCAAGGGAAGGTCCAAGACTTGGGGGGCTTCCGGGCCCGTTTTGAGGCGAGCTCGGGGCCTCCTCCTGCTTCTCCTAGTCCTTCTCAGGTGCGTTCCAACCATGACGGAGGTGAACCTGGCCGTGTCAAATGAGAGCGCCCAGCACAGAACAGCACAAACACCGAGAAAACCACGGGGAAGTCTCGAGCTTCCAAGCTTGCTCTTCTTTCGACGACGGAGGAGGCGGAGGGGGATCGGAAGGAGCGCGCGGGCACTCAAGACAGCTCCAGAAGTCGCGCAAATAGCCATAAAAAGGTCCCAGGGTAGCTCAAATGAGGCTAAGAAGCCCGAAGGACAGCCAGGCAGAATCAGTCGAAAACCTTCACACGGGGGATGGGGAAGTGGAGATTGAAAGTGAGATGGAGGAGGGGCGAGGTAATAAGACAATAACGGTAGGGGGCGGGAAGGCCACGAGAAGGAGGCCGAAAAGGAGCGTAGGGAGTCAACGAAAGAGACCCGAATCGCCTTCGGCCCATCCCGCTACCACGCCTAGGTTGTGGGCCAAAAGCATCTAGGATGTTCGGTTGGATGTGACTGTAGGCCTCTCGGAATCCTCTTGGGGGCCGTCTTGGGGCCTCTTGGGGGCCGTTTGGGTGCCTCCTCGGGCGTCGTGGGGGCCTCTTGGGAACCTCTCTGGGCCTCATGGAGGCCTCTTGAGACCTTCTCGTGGCAATCCGTAAAACCATTGCACAAGTTAAAAACGAATGTACGCGGCACTACAGCGAGAGCCACATGTTGAAAAAGAAACGCCCTGAATCTATAAAAACCTTGCAAATGTTTAAAACGAGTGCGCGTGGCGCTAAGGCGAGAGTCACATTTTGAAAACCGCCCGCCCTCAATCCGTGAAACTCTTGCACATGTTAAGACGAATGCGTGCGGCGCTGAGGCGAGAGCCGCATTTTGGAAACCGCCGCCCTCAATATCTGAAACTCCTGCAAAGTCTTAAGACGAATGTGCGCAGCGCTGAGGCGAGAGCTACTTTTTGAAAACCGCCCGCCCTCAATCCGTGAGGGTCTTGCAACTGTTCAGGGCGAACGTGCACGGCGCTAAAGCGAAAGCCACATTTTGGAAACGGCCCGCCCTCCTTCTATGAAACTGTTGCCGTTCTTGTGTTGGCTGAAGCTTCAGGATCATAAATGGTAAGAAATAATCAATCGAAACGCCTGGCCCGCCCTTCCGACCGGCTTCGGGGTGCGACAGGAAGAGGAGGAGGAGGAGGAGGAGGAGGAGGAGAAGGAGGAGGAGGAGGAGGATGGTGGGGAGAGGAGGATGGTGGGGAGAGAAGGGAGGAGGAGCAGGAGGAGGAGGAGCAGGAGGAGGAGAGGGAGGAGGAGGGGAGAGGACGAGGTCGAAGGGGGTGGGGGTAAGCAGCCCCCACCGTGAGGGCCGCGGGAGGGGGAGGCCGCGGCGGGTCCTCCACCAGCGCGCGGCACGTGCGGCCGACCAGCGTCCTGACGGCGCCTGGCGGGGCCTCCTCGGCGGGCCCAGGGCTTGAGTGGCAACGATCGGGGGAGGGCAGCTGAAGGGGGGCGGGGTGGGTGGGGGGGGGGGGGGGGAAATCGCGTGTAGGGGGCCACATGCGAACCCTGCCCCCCCCCCGACGATTTCTGAGGGGGTGGGTGGGGTTCACTTCGTTCGGGAGCTCCCAAGCGGTGAACCCCACCCTCCCCCTCAGAAATCGTGGAGGGTAGGGGTAGGGTTCGCATGTCGCCCCCTAGCGTGGTGGCAACAGGCGCCTTCAGGTCACAAAGGTCAGAGTTGTGGAGGTACGTTGGCACCCCTCCCTGCGGCCGGCTTCGTGGGCCGAGGGACCGCAGGGAGGGCCTCGGCCACCTCCCCCGGTGGCTGTTGACGCCATCGTGAACAGGTGCGGGGGGGACCCACGCAACCCCTATGACGGAAGCTGCGCGGGGTGCGAGGCCAAGTGGCGGTCCTCACGGGTAAGGCCTGAAGACGTCAAGCGAAAGATCGGCGACAGGTCCCCGACAGCGAAGGCCCCACGTTCCTGGATCGAGTGGGCTGTCAGGCCCCCTATCTGCGCGATACATGGCCGATCTGTGGTCGATGCATCCCCCTCTCTAAGCCTATCACCCCCTAACGTTGCCCCCGAGAAGGGTGGGGGGTGGAGGCCGCCAAGGACGGGGAATCGGCCAGGTTCGCCTTCCTCCTTCCGCGTTTTGCCTGCGACCCTGGAGGATTGGGAAGGACGACCTCTGCATGCTTGGCGATTGGACTCTTCTGACCCTTTTGTGGACACTCTGAGGCCTCTGGGGGCCTCCTGGGAAACTCTGGGGATGTATGGGAGTACACATCATCCTCGTCCTCTTCAATATCCTCCTTCTCCTTCTCCTCCTCCTTCTCCTCCTCCTCCTTCTCATCCTCCTCCTCCTCTTCCTCCTCGTCCTCCTCCTCGTCATCATCAGAGTACTCATACTACCCATCACCACCATCATCATCATCATCATCATCATCATCATCATCATCAGAATCGTCATCAGCTGCAACAGCATCAGCATCACCATCAGCAACAGCATCATCAATGTCGGCATCAAAATCAGCATCCTCATCATAATCAGCAACAGCAGCAGCATCATCATCCTCATCATCATCCTCACAATCATCATCGTCATCAACATCAACAACATCATCAGCAGCACCACCATCAGCATACTTATAATACTCATCATCCGAATCCGTATCGTCAACATCATCATCATCAGCAGCATCATCATCACCGTCATAATCAGCATCATCGTCATCATCGACATCGTCATCATCACCAGGAGCAGCAGCATCGCCATTATCAGCATCATCAGCATCGTCATCATCACCACCACCATCATCATCATAATCAGCAGCATCATCATCGTCATCGTTTTCGTCATCGTCGTCAACATCATCTTTATCATCAGTATCATCATCAGCATCATCATCAGCAGCAGTATCACTACCCCCATTAACATCCGCCACCGTGCCCCCTGGCACGTTGAGGCGTGCTAGAATGCCAAGTGCTGTCTGGCAGGGATTCTGTAATCTTAGGGTGTCCCCCCCCCTTCCAGGCCGCGTAGAGTTGCTTGCATCGCCCCCTCTTCCAGAGGCTCTGCCGGCGCCCAGACACGTTCCTGGCGCTCTGCAATGCGGCCAAGATGCCAAAGATGGCTTCCAAGACGGACCTCCACAGCCGCCAAGAGACCCCCAAGATGCATCCAAGACGGCCGAAGATTGCTCCCAGATGGCCCAAGATGGCCTCGGGACGGCACCAGAGGCCTCCAAGACGGGCCAGGAGAACTCCAAGAGAGCCTCCAGCAAGGCCCGAAGGGGCCCAAATCGTCGATGTCCCTTATGTTGTTGAATTGTTTCGCATCCACGCCTTGTCAAGCTCCCGTCGGCTCAAGACGGCCCAAGAGGCCTCTAAGATGGGCCCACGGCGGCCCTAGGGAGCCTCAAGATAGCCCAAGAGGTCTCCAAGGCCGCCTTCAGGCAGCTCAAGACGGCCGCTGGACTACCCAAGACGGTCTCAAGAGGGCTTCAAGTTGGCACTAAAGGCCTCAGGAGGGACCCAAGACGGCCTCAGAGGACCCCTGGACGGCCCAAGACGGCCCAAGACGGCCCCATGATAACCCAAAGAGGCTCCCAAGACGGTCACGAAGGCCCCAAGAGAGCAGAAAACAGCCCAAGAGAGCCTCAAGACGGCCGAAGGGGGTCCCAAGAGAATCTCAAGACGGTCTCTCAAAAGCTCAGGGCAGGTCACTGACGCCAAATGAACCCCACCGGTCACAAAAGCCCACGGGTCACAGCACGTTGACAAACAGCCCAAGGAACCCCGCAAGAGGCCCCAAAAAACCACCGACCCCTAGGGGTTCATCGGCGTGTGAGATGTCCCCCCCTCCCCCAACACCTCCCCCAGGAGCCTGGTACGGCCGATTTGGAAAGGAGGGGACGAAGGGGGTCCCCCGGGGACCCGCCGAATGCATCACGAATGCATCACCCCATATGGAGTTCCACCGACAGCCCCAGTGGCTGCGTCCGCATGCGCTCACCGCCCCATTTTTGACACACCTCTCACGCGCTTCGCGTCCCCATAGGGAGCTCCACCGACGGCCCCAGTGGCTGCGTTCGCATGCGCCCACCGCGCTCATTTTGGCACACCCTCACACGTCTCGTGGCCCCATGGTGAGCTCCACCGAAGGCCCCAGTGGCTGCGTTCGCATGCGCCCACCGCACCCATTTTGGCACACCCCTCAAACGCTTCGCGGCCCAACAGGGGGCTTCACCACAGCCCCTGCGGCTGCGTTCCCATGCGCCCACCGCGCCCATTTTGGCACACCCTCACACGCGCCCAGTGGCTGCGTTCGCATGCGCCCGCCGCGCCCATTTTGGCACACCCCTCACACGTTTCGCGGCCCCATTAACATTCACCGACAGCCCCTGTGGCTGCGTTCCCATGCGCCAGCCGCGCCCATTTTGGCACACCCTCACACGTCTCGTGGCCCCATAGTGAGCTCCACCGAAGGCCCCAGTGGCTGCGTTCGCATGCGCCCACCGCACACATTTCGGCACACTCCTCACACGTATCGTTGCCCTATAGGGAGCTCCTCCGCATGCGGTGCAGACAACGACGGCACTTACAACTGCAAAAAGTTGGGTCCTACGCCAGGCAAACTTTCACCCTGGGCATTTTTTCCCAGACTTGAAACTCTGGGGCCCGTGATCGGGCTCCAGGACCATCACACATGGACCTGGAGCGAAAACGAATCCCCGGAAACGCGGTCGGAACCTCTAGGGCCGCGCATGGGCAAACATCGCACCGTCGGATGTCGGGGGGGGGGGGTCGGCCCCACCGCTGGGCACGCTCCTCGACGCGCGGTCGCCTCGGTCACCGGGAGGCGCCGGGGCGGCCAGCTGCGTGAGCCGAGTCGCTCGCCCCCCGAGGCTCGGCGTCGCTCGGACGTGCGCACCTCTAGCTCTCGGCGAGGATCCTCGAGCCGAGAGAACTGCACGCGTGAAGTCGAAAAGTGCACGGGGAGGACCTGTCCGCCCCTGACGTTGCCCCCGATGCCCCCTCCTCCTCCTCCTCCTCCTCCTCCTCCTCCTCCTCCTCCTCCTCCTCCTCCTCCTCCTCCTCCGCCTCCTCATCATCATTTTCCTCCTCCTCCTCCTCCTCCTCCTCCTCCTCTCCTCCTCCAACCGCCTCCTCCCCCTTCCTCCGCCCTCCTCCGCCTCCTCCTCATTCATCCTCCTTCCTCCTCCTCCCTCCTCCTCCTCCTCCTCCTCCTCCTCCTCCTCCGCCTCTCCTCCTCCTCCGCCTCCTCCCCCTCCGCCCTCCTCCGCCCGCCTCCCCCTCCTCATCCCCTCGCTCCGCCTCCTCCTCCTCAGCTCCTCCGCCTCCTCCTCCTCCTCATCCTCCTCCTCCTCCTCCCTCCTCCGCCTCCTCCCTCCTCCTCCTCCTCCTCCCTCCTCATCACGCCCATCACTCCTCTGCCTCTATTCCTCCTCTCCTCCTCCTCCTCCTCCTCCCCTCCTCCTCCTCCTCCTCCTCCTCCCCTCCTCCGCCTCCTCCTCCTCCTCCGAACTCCGCCCTCCGCCCTCCTCCTCCGAACTCCCCTCCTCCTCCTTCCTCTCCTCCTCCTCCTCCTCCTCCTCCTCCTCCTCCTCCTCCTCCTCGCTCCTCCTCCTTCCTCCTCTCCTCCTCTCCGCCCTCCTCCTCCGCCCTCCTCCTCCGCCCTCCCCTCCTCCCTCCCCTCCTCCCTCTCCTCGCTCCTCCTACTCTCTCCTCCTCCTCCTCCCTCTCCTCCTCCTCCTCCTACCTTCCTCCTCCTCCCTCCTCCTCCTCCTCCTCCTCCTCCTCCTCCTCCGCCTCTCGGCCGCCCCCCTCTCGGCCAGCATCCTCCACGGGCGGCGGCTGGCTCATGGGCGACGGCTCCAGCGCGCCGCCGAGGGCGTCCTCACGGGCGGCCGACGACGCCGGCGACGACGACGACGACGACCACAACGACGACGACGACGACGACGACGACGACGACGACGACGACGACGACGACGACGACGGCAATAACGACGACGACGACGACGACGACGACGACGACGACGACCACGACCACGACCACGACCACGACCACGACCACGACCACGACCACGATGACGACGACGACGACGACGACGACGACGACGACGACGACGACGACGACGGCGACGACGCCGACGACGACGATGACGACGAAGACAAAGACGACGACGAGGAACGACGACGACAAAGACGACGACGACAAACGACGACGATGACGACGACGAAGAGGAACGACGACGACGACAAAGACAAAGACAAAGACGCGAACGACGACGACGAACGACGACGATGACGATAACGACGACGAAGAGGAACGACGACAACGACGACGACGACGACGACGACGACGACAACGACGACGACACAACAATGACGAACACGACGACGACGACAAAGACACTCCCCGTGGGAGGGCATGGCACTCGCATGGACCTGGACCTCTCTCTCTCTATTCCCCCCCCCCCTGATCGCTGGTCGCTCCTCCTCCTCCTCTCCCCTCCTCCTCCTCCTCCTCCCTCCTCCTCCTCCTCCTCCCTTCCTCTCCTCCTCCTCCTCCTCCTCCCTCGTCACTCCTCCTCCTCCTCCTCCTCCTCCTCCGCCCTCCTCCTCCTCCTCCTCCTCCTCCTCCTCCTCCTCCTTCTCCTCCTCCTCCTCATCCATCCCTTCTCCTTATAAAGAACTTCTCCGTGTCGCATCCCGAGGCCAATGTTTGGGGCGGGCCGGGCGTGGGCCGGGCGTGTCGCCTGAGACTTCCTCACCTTTATGATCCTGAAGCTTCAAATTTGACAACAGCTCCAAAGACGGAAAGCGGGTGGTTTTCAAAATGTGGCTCTCGCCTCAGCGCCGCGCAAATTCGTTCTAGAGACTTGCAAGAGTTTCACGGATTGAAAGCGGAAAATGTGGCTTTCGCCTTAGCGCCACGCACATTCGTTTCACACGTTTGCAAGAGCTTCACTGTTTTTTGGAAGGGTTTGGGATTAAGAGGGTGCAACGGTTACGTTCGCTCGCGGTGTTGGAGTCTCAAAAATGGCGTACTGGCCCGATTCAGGACCTTCAAACGCGACAGTTAGGTTGATCCGTGACGTTGGAATCTCGACAACAATGTCTTGGCATGCTTCAGGTTCTTCGAACGGTTGTCTTCCAACGAAGCAATTCCCTCAATGGAGATGAACCGTTGTAGGGGCCTATGAAGATGGAGCTTGGAGGGAGGTTTGATTCCAATATCTTTGATGACTCTTGGGATTACACTGGTCCTCCTCCTCCTCCGCCTCCTCCTCCTCATCATCATCCTCCTCCTCCTCCTCCTCCTCCTCCTCCTCCTCCTCCTCCTCCTCCGCCTCCGCCTCCGCCTCCGCCTCCTCTTCCTCCTCATCCTCCTCCTCCTCCTCCTCCTCCTCCTCCTCCTCCTCCTCCCCCTCCCCCTCCTCCTCCTCCTCCTCCGCCTCCTCCTCCTCCGCCTCCGAAAAACCATCCGCACCTGTGGGGTCCAAAACCCGGATAGCAGGGTGCCCGAAGGGCGTGGAAAGGACTGTTGAAGAACTCTGAAGGCCTGGAGAGAGCTTCCGAAGGATCTTCTGGAGAGCTTCCGAACACGCGTATTGGGAAACGCGTAGAACAGGCTTGCCGGAACACGCTGCAGGGTCAAGCAAGCCCCGCCGAAGTGTGCTGCCGGAGGCCGCAACGACCTCCGGGGCTACCCTGCGGCTCCGGCCGGCTTCTTAATCTGAAACCCTCTTAGCCCTCTGCGAGCTATCCGGGAAAGACCTCAAGCTCTTGGCGACGGTCCGACCTCGCAGCGCTGTGGGCACCCCGCGCGCGCTCAGGCGCCCGAGGGCACCTCGGAGAGCCCAGCTGCGGCGGGCCCGCCCGGGGCGGCGCCGAACCCCTGGGGCCGCGAGCTCCGTGCCCTCAGCTCGCCCTCCATGGAGGGAGGGGGAGGAGGAGGAGGGCGGAGGAGGAGGAGGAGGAGGAGGAGGAGGAGGAGGAGGAGGAGGAGTAGGAGGAGGAGAAGGAGGAGGAAGGAGAGGGGAGGGAGGAGAAGGAGGGGAGGAGAAGAGGAGGGAGGAGGAGAGGAGGAGAGGGGAGGAGGAGGAGGAGGAGGAGAGGAGGAGAGGAGGAGGAGGAGGAGGAGGAGGAGGAGGAGGAGGAGGAGAAGGAGGAGGAGGGAGGAGGAGGAGGAGAGGAGGAAAGGAGTAGGGGAGGAGGGGGGAGGGAGAGGAGGAGGAGGGGGAGGAGGAGGAGGGAGGTGGAGGGAGGAGGGAGGGATGAGGAGGGAGAGGGAGAGGGGGAGGGAGGGAGGGGGGGAGGGGGGAGAGAGGAGAGCGACCCGCGGGCCAGGGGGGGAGAGAGAGAGGGAGGTCCAGGTGCGAGCGCTGTCGGAAGAGAGAGCAAGAGAGCAGAGGAGGGGAGAGAGGAGGGGAGGAGGAGGAGGCAGAGGGAGGAGGAGGAGAGGGCGAGGAGGAGGAGGAGGTGGAGAGGGAGAAGGAGAGGGAGGAGGAAAGAGGAGGAGGCGGATGGGGAGTGGAGCAGGAAGAGGAGGAGGAGGCGAGGACGGGAGGGGGAGGAGGGATGGGAAGGAGGAGCAGGGGAGCGGAGGAAGCAGAGGACGAGGAGGAGAGGTGGAGCAGGGGAGAGGAGGAAGGAGGAGGGGGGAGGGAGGAGGAGGAGGAGGCCGCCCGCCCGCCCGCCCGCCCGCCCGCCGGCCCGCCGCCCGAGGGAAGCCAGGTGCTGCCAGAGGTGTCCCTGGCACGAGGTGTCCCCAGGCTTTCCCGCAATGCTGTCGCCCCGGGGGGGGGGGGGCCCTCGGGGTCTCGCGAGGGGTGCTCTGGAGGCCCTCTGGGCCTCTCGCACCGTCGTGGGGAGCACCTTGGGCCGGGGACACCTTTGGCAACACCCGAGGAGGGAGCACGACCAGGCGCCGCCATTCCAGCGCGGTGCCGCATCCACCCCCCCTGGGGCCGGGCGGCGATCGCGATGACGACGGTGACGGCGACGGCGACGGCGAGGGCGGCGCCGGCGGCAGCGACGGCGGCGACGACGGCGGCGGCGACGGCGACGGCGATCGCGACGGCGAAGACGGCGGCGAAGGCGGCAGGTGCTCGTGGACAGGGTCGGCCGCGGCCGCAGCCACGGCGGTCCTCCACGAAGGCCGCCAGCGCCGCCCCGGCGCGCAAGCTGTCCGCCCAGAAGTCGGCGCCAGCGGGCTCCGCAGAGGTACCGACGAAGGGCGCGGAGGTGGGTGGGGAGGTGGGCAGGCGTGTGGAAGGGGTGAAGGGGGGGGCTGGAGGGGCCACGTAAAAGAGAGAGGGAGGGCGGGCGCGAAGGTGCCGACGAGGGAATCTGCGGCAGAGGCGCCCCAGGATCTCCGAGCACACCGGAACCTCGAACGGCTCGCGGGGCGGCGGCGTGAGCCCTGGTCACCCTTGCCCCGGGGCGCCCCCATGGACAAACCGGCCCAGAGCGCGCGCGCGCGGGGAGGGGGGAGGGAGGGAAAGCGAGGGGAAGCGGAGAAACGGGGGGCGAGCCAAGGGGAGACGACGCTTTGCGATCGATGTCAAGGTCGAATGGCCTCTGGCCGTGCAAGCTTGCTGGAGGCACTTGTCTCTCGCCGATTCACAATAGCAGAAGCGGCACTTTGGACGCCCGAAATGGGTATGGAAAGAATGGGAACAATGCCCAACAGCAAATGTTGTCCCAAACCAACAGCGGCCGCTGTTGGGCAGGCGACCTTCTGTCTCGAATGGACACAGGCCGCGGCGGCGCGGACAGCAAGTCCTGTTAAAAGTAGACAGGAACTGCTGTTGGGCATTGTACCCATTCTTTCCGTACCTATTTCGGGCGTCCAGAGGCACGAAATTATCACGAGACCTCTCTTGCGACATCAGCAAAACAGTAAGACCGTGCGTCAACGATGCTGCGATGAGCCCCCCACTCGGCCCAAGTCCCCTCATCATGAGCCACTGCAGGAATTCCTTCTCGCTGCGGGCACAGCGCCCTCTTGAGGCACGAGCGCCCCGTCGTCAAGCAATTCCGCCGAGAGCCCGTTTTGAAAGAGAACGGCCATCCACGAGTCTAGCTAAAAGGACGCCGACCAGGTAGAATCATACAAACCACAAGAAGGTGCCCAGCGAGAGACCCACCTTGAAAAACAACTTCCCTCTACAGCTATGCTGCGTCTCCAGCAAAAACGCATCGTCAGAAAAGTGGTAAAAGCTCAAGCGAATAAATTGCCTTGAGGAAAAAAACGCCCTCCATGTGCAGCTAATGTATACCCTTACATGTTAGCCAACGTGGACCCAAAACCGTGCTTTTAGCAGTCAAAGTTGTGCCACCTGTTCGGGGCAATGTATGTGATGCTATTTATATATATATATATATATATATATATGTGTGTGTGTGTTGCAGAGTAGGTTGTACAGGGCCATCTATGTTGTACCATCTACGTGGTGCAACATATGCTGTGCAATCGATGTGGTGCACAAAACGAAGTGCAAATTATGTGGAGCTATCTACGTTGTGCACTATATGCGGGGCAATAAGTACTGTGCAATAAATGTGGAACAATCGACGTGGTGCAATATACATATACACACACAAATACATATAAAAACACAAATTTGTTGTGCCATTATTTTCTGTTCGCAAAGAACGTCCGCTCCACTGCTCGCACAATCATCCCACCCACCCACCCGCAACTTGGTTTGCACAACCAATGCGGCGGCGAATGCGATGAGTGCTTGGAGTTGACTGGTGTATCTCTGCGGCCGTGCTAGCCCGCGCATCCTGGCGCGCGAATCGGCCAGATAGCTTGTCGGCGCCGATGCTGGTCACGCTGACGACGATGACGGCGCCCTCGCGTCGGTGATGAGAGTTTTGGAAGGAATTCGACATGCGCGCGCGGCCGACGCGCGAGTGGCCCGCATGGTAATATTTGACACGGATCGTATCCCCCGAACAAGCGCGCAAAGGCGTTCGAATAATTTCGACGTGCGGCGCGAGGGGCCCGCTTGGCCGAATGGGATGAAAATGTTGAAACAGATGGTTGTTGTATGTATATACATACATACATACAATCATACATGCACACATACACATACATATGTATGTTATTTTTGCATGTTTAACAACAAACAACAGCCCAAAAGATGTTATACAATATATATATATATATGTTAACCTTAAAAACCAAAACAAAACAAAAACGTGAAATCATATATATATATATATAAACAAATCGCATACGTGGTTATATCTAAATATTAACAAAAAAAGTGTTGCAACCTAACGTGTGCACATATGTAATCGGGACATTCGGTTTTGAAACCCTACGAAATCTAAAGATGTTGATCGATTTCGGCATGCGCGCGCGACGGCGCGCGCATGCACTTCATCCAGTCTGTTGGAAGGGACTATTGCGACAGCACGCGCGCAAGGACGTTCGAGTGATTTCGACATGCGCGCGCAATAGGCCCGCTTGGTAGCAAAGTATGATTTTTGTGTTTGAAGAAAAACCGTTCGAACTCGCAAGAGCCAGAGCGCGAGTTTGTTTTGAAATTCTTGTTGCGGAAGCATATGCATATGTCTTTAAACACTCGAACTTCAAATATTTACGAAACCGAATTTTGTTTTTAAAGGATTTCGGCATGCGCGCGGCGACGAGCGCGTACGAATTTCGCTCCATCTGCTGCAAGGGGCTCTTGGAAACTTATGACTGTTGATAAACAAGGTTGCGCGCATCATAGTATTTGTTGCAACGGGCGAGGGGGAGTGCCAATCCCAGACTGCCTGGGATGGTACGAACTCATATCTAAGATAAATGCGGCAGAATGATATCTAAAATGCAATTAGAAAGGGAAGTCGTTCTTTCTAAGGAGGGTAAATCCTAATACTGCTTTAGAAAAAGAGAATATGTGTTTTGCGACGGGGCGGCGGCGACGGGATGGGGCGGCGACGGCGACAACATAGCCGCCACACCGCCAACCAGGCCCAGACGACGGGCGGCGACGAGGCGGCGACAGCGACAACATAGCCGCCAGACCGCCAGACCGGCCGAGACGACGGGCGGCGACGAGGCGGCGACGGGCGGCGACGGCGACAACTTAGCCGCCACACAGTTTTTGTTGGTCGGCGGGTCGAGAGCGAGCCTCTTCCGGTTAAGAGCTAGGCGGAGCGCGCGAAGCACTAATTGGAGAGACAGGGCGCGGGCGGGCGGGGCCTCAGGCGGCCTTCTTAGCCGCCACACAGGCCCAGTTCCCTCAGAAGAAAATGAGAACCCCTAGTGCAAGCACTGTTTGGGGAATAGTTCTGGACACAAGGAGTAGGCATGTCTCCAACAATAAAACGAAAAGGAAACGCCCTCCATGTTGTAGCTGATGGGAACGATGAGACGACTGTGCGCGGGGCCCTGGCGACAGACACACATTGAAAACTACACATACTCCATCCGCGTGACTGTTGGAAACGTTGGAGACGAATGTGTGTGGGGGGGGGCTAGTAGGAGAGAGCCCCACTTTGAAAGGAAACCCACCTCCACCCGTGCAGCGAGTGGAAAACTTTAAGGCAAATGTGCGCGACGCCAAGGACAAAACAAAAAAAAAAAA